ATTAAGAAACCTGTTTTACAGACCCTTGCCTGTTATTACTATTTGATCTGAGTTGTTTCAGGTAAAAAAAAAGGGAAGGGGGGGGCCACTAAAGAACACAGAAGTATCAAAGTAACTTGTCAAATGCAGAAAGGGACTTGCTGTGAAATCTGTGTGTAAAGGAAAGTCTGGGCCTTTGCACATCAGTGTAATCTAAAATATCTGGCAGATATGGTGAGTAAAAACCAGGTATCACATGTATGCAGTGTCTTAAAATTACACTGTAATGTAATGTAATTTATGACATTTAAAAGGCCAAACTTCCTTTAAAGAGATAGGACCCCAAGCAGGGAGGCAACTGATTCATTAGGGCTTTGTCTGTAGAAAAAGGTAAAAAAATCCTTAATTATATAGACCCTAAACTGAGGAAAAACAAAGGTCCAATCTTGCACATTCTGATGTCAATGGGAATTCTGGTCCTAACTTTATAATTTAGGAGTAGTTGTAATGTAGAATCTTGGTACATTAAACCGTATTAGCTCCAAAGGATTTTTAGTGATCTATCAGCAAAGGGTGAGAGGGGGAAGAACACAACAAAACCGCTGCTATTTAACATACCATCTTCATCACTGTCAAAGTCATCTGAGTATTCAGCAGTTTGCTGTCTTGCTGCACGAGCAGAAATTGCTTCTTGTAGCTCATTCTGAAATATTTTAATAGATAATGGATCTTTCCTTCTGAATAAAAGTTATTTCAAGTTCAACTCTCATTCTTCCCACTAACAAAAAATGTTTTGGGACAGTAACAGATCTGAATCTTTGGGAGTGAGGGGGAGTGGGTGAGCAAACTGGTGTAGTATAGTGTCTCCCAACATTTTGAAAGCTGATGCACCTTTCAGGAAAACACCACCAACTGGACACCCTCTCATCCCCCACCCCATATCCTTGCCATCTACTGATAAAAGTCTATGCATCTTAGTTTATATATCTTTTGAGTAACACCTCCAGCCTCTTTGAACTTTGTGCTCCCTCTTCCCGAGTGGACTCTTTGGAAAATACTTGCCTAGTTAACAAGTCGCTTGACTGGGAGTCAGAAGACATGGCCTGTTTCTGATATTGCCTGCTGTGTGACATTGGGTAAGTCACTTCAGCCCAGATCCAAAGGGACTTAGGAGCTACAGTGCTGTCACAAGGCCTTACTTTTAGGTGCCTTGGAAAACACTTGAATACACAAAGCCTGAGTTAGGTACCTAGGCTCCCTATACAATGAATGGGGAGAGATAAGCATTTAAGAATGGGATCCACAAAAGCAAGCATATTAGGCAGCTCCCCTCCTAAGCTAGTCAATAGTAGAGAGAGTGTTTTCTTGCTCAAAAATTACCAGCCACTAGCAACTTGGAAGCAGTTAGACCCTCCAATAAAGTGCATATAATCTTCATTAATGTGCTTTCACAAAGAGGCCACATAGATCTTTTCAGGTCCTATAAAATTTAGCTAGAAAATACCTACATCATCTACCGCCAAAAATAAAGGATCTGATGATGGGTAAGTAAGGAACAAATAAATATACACTTCACAAACTACACAGCAGAAGACTGAGGAAAAGAAAAACTTTGTCTTGAAGATATTTTGTGGTGGTTTTAAGATCTCCTGTTAGGTGTGTAAAAAGAACAGGAGTACTTGTGGCACCTTAGAGACTAACAAATTTGCCACAAGTACTCCTGTTCTTTTTGCGGATACAGACTAACATGGCTGCTACTCTGAAACCTGTTAGGTGTGTGTATATCTCCTAAACCTCAGTCACCTGCTGTGTACTTTGTTACTAGACAGGACTCATCTTCTGTAAACATCACCTCCAACCTTCAAAACTTAAACCCTGATTGTGCAAAGATTTATGCATGTGCTTATCTTCAAGCATATAACAAATCCCATTGATTTAGAAGTTAAGCATGTGCTAAAATCTTTTCATGACCAATACCAAAGCTATTGTATCAAACTGGCTGCATGCAAAAGTTACCCACCGAGGATTTGTAGTCTGAAGTTCCTTGCTTTTATTAGTTTAAAATAGATGTTTTACTTTAATTGAGGACAATTATTGTGTACATTTAGGAGATCAAGAAAACCTCAGTATGATTTTTCTAAAGAAGCACACAGAAACTAAATGAGAATGTCAATTCCACTTTTAAGATAGGAAAGTGTATGTGTTTAAGTTTTTGCTTTTCTGGCATATTGACAGCAGAGTTATTTTTGTTGCTAATCTTAGTAACACAAAGGACAGGTCTACAGTAGAAACTTTAGCCAGTATAACAATATTGTTTAGGGGTGTGATTTTTGGTGACATTTCTACACTGGCAAAAACTCTACTGTACTGTATCTGCATAAAAGTGCTTTTACTTCACTTGCCAAACTGGTATAGATTATCCTGGTAAAAGCATGGTTTGTTTTACTAGGATAAGCTGTACCTACACTAGGAGGTTTGCCAGTTTAGCGAGCGTAGAGTTGGCTGATTTTTTATCAGATAAGGTGGGATAAAATAGTTTACCTGAAAAGTGGTTCTTCTGGAGAACTTGGGGCTCTTGGTATACGCTAAAGTGGTGCCAATATCTTCATCAGACATGGTGGGGAAAAGGTCTGGAGAAATTACTCTTATGCAGGTTCTCCTCGTTTTCACACCCTCAGCTCTCTGATGCAGTGAACTCAAATCTCTCCTGAGGGTTTAAACAATGGATCAGAGTGATTAAAGCAAGGATCTGTCTGTCCCTCCGCTCGGGCTGCCCCGCTGCGCTGCAGGACACCGGCGTGCGGCGGATTGCGCCCGCTCCGGGCTGGCGTGGGGGACACGCCGCCCCGGGCAGGTCTGCGCTGCAGGGCGCACTCGAGCTCTGACCCACTGAAACCCAACCCCGGGGCCGCCCCGCCCCACGAGCCGGGCCCTGCGGCCGCCCCTCCACAGACGGCTCCCACCTCCCGTGGCTGCCTGTCCCGTGCCCGCGCGGGCCCGTCCGAGGGGGGCTCGCTCTAGGCGCTGCGCAGCGGCCGCTCCGCTCCTGCCGTCGCCGTCGCAGCTGCATTGACCGGAGAGGCGGAGACTGAGCCCCAGCCGACCCGCGCGGCCATACACGTTACCTAGCAACCCACCAACACCGGAAGTGACCGCATAGACCGAGCCCCTGCTACTAGGGGGACAAAGCCCCGCCCCCTCCCTTGCCAGTCGGGAAGGGGTTACGGCCATGTGTCTGGCGCCGTTTCCTAGAGTCCAGGAGTTTCCCCCCTGCTGCTTAGAACCGAACTAGAGCCGGGCGGGCGAGGGCTGGTGTGGGAAGGATGCGCGGGGAGTGGGGCAGCCCCAGGGCCCCGCCTCTGCAGCAGATTCGCCGGGTTTGTTTAATCGTCAGTGTCTTCAGGGCTGCAGAGACATGTCAGGCCCTGGGCTGAGTTGTTCAGATGCTGGCCTAGAATGTAGCTGAGCAGAATGACTGGCTGCGACTTTCACACGCTCCATTTTGCATCCCTGTTAAGTCTTAACCATTAACGCTTACCGAATGCCTTTCCTCTTCTCCAAGTGAGTCCTGAAAAAGACCTCACACGTTCTGCAAGGCCTGTGTGCTCCCACTGCCCGTGCAACTTCATTAAACTAAATTGTAACTGCACTGCAACTCTGTTAATTACAGCGAACCTGCTTATATCTCAAAACCCAAATTTCCAGCAGGAGACCCAATGCTTCTATGGAAAAATGCACAAACAGTTGTGTCTCTGTTTGCACTGGAAATTATAACCAGTGTAGAGGCAAAGTGGGTGTTTATGCATGCAAGTGCCATTTAAACACCTAGCTATTCACATATGTGAATTCCATAATTGTTCACGCAACAGCCAACATGTAGTTGCAAATACATTTTTGCCCATGAAACTTGGACCTCTGTTTTTGAATATTTGGTTCTTAAGCTGTATGGTCTAATGGGCACAGGCCTTGCTTGTACCAAACTTCACCCTAATTGATGCTTTATACAAGTGGGGGGGAGTCAATGGGATTTGTCAGGATTGACTGTAAGGCAGAACCTAACTCCTCCCTTTCTTAGGGCTGACAGAAAGCATAGGTACATGCAGGGTTGCCCGGGGGTGGGAAGGCAAGTGGGGCAATTTGCCCCAGGCCCTACAGGGCCCCCATGAGAATATAGTATTCTATAGTATTGCAACTTTTTTTTATGGAAGGGGATCCCCAAAATTGCTTTGCCCCAGGCCCCCTGAATCCTCTGGGTGGCCCTGGGTACATGTAATTGAATTATTTGGGACTCAACCCCCTAAGTATTCAGCTTCCATTTTCTCTAAAACGGTGGCAATGCAACCTTTGCTAAAAACAATTCATGCCTGAATAAGTGGTCAATTTGCAAAGGGAAGAACAGGAGTACTTGTGGCACCTTAGAGAC